GAGTCTGAGCTTCGAATGTGGAATGTGGAACTGGAATGTGGAACACACTCCTTCCATATATTTTGCACCAGGTTAATCTTGTCCATCCACTGCGTCTTTTACCGGTCGGTTTCGCAATAAAGAGTTGCTTAACCTTTCTTTCTAAAGTCATTCGCAACACATGGCCAAACCATTGCAGCTGTGACTTCTCAGTCTGGAGAAGCAGAGGCTATACACCATGGCTCTTCTGGATGTCAGTACTCCGGACCATGTCGAGACGCGTAAGACCAGTGAATCGTCTAAGAAAGCCCATTTTAGCCCAAGATCAGTTTCAGAAGATATTAATAAAGCAAGGTCGTCTGCAGACAGCAACCTTCTCGTCTTCACATCTCTTACACCGATACCCTCATCGCCATGGCAGCTCCTGACTATTCTATCCATGTACAACACAAATAGGATAGGGGACAGGACGCAGCCTTGGCGGAAACCAGCGCGAACGTTGAATGGTTTCGACTTAAAGCCATTTACCCTGACGCAGCATCTGCTATCAGAATACAGTGATTGGATGGCCTTTAGCAGCTGGCCATCTTTCCCGTATGCTCGAAGGCATGCCACAGACTTTTGCGTGGGATCCGGTCATGGGATCCGGACGGGCGTACTCCCACGTTTTCGACAATCTGGCGCAGGGCAAATATACGGGCAGTTGTGCTTCGACCGGGCCGGAAGCCACACTGCTCTTCTTGTATCTTGAGGTCAGTTATTTTGCGGACCTCCTTTCTAGCATCTTTGCGTAGACTTTACCTGGGACGCTTAATAACGTAATGCCGCTATAATTGAACCATTCCCTATGGTCTCTTTTCTTGAATAGGGTCAACAACTCCCGTTCTCTAGCCCAATGGTGTCTTCCACTTAGTCATGGCAGTTTGACAGGGGCATGTAGTCCAGCACATGCCTTTTTCGTCTAATGCCTTGTGCATCTCAGTGAGGATTTCATAAATTCCGGCAGCTTTTCAATTTTTTATGCTTTTTGTTGCTTGTGTAATTTCATCTACAGAGATTGTAATATCCGTACCCTTTTGTTCTTCAGGTTAGTAACTGCGCTTGCTCGGGGTTAAGGAGTTCCTCAAAGTACACTCACCTTCGCCGAAGAATGTCCCTATCCTTGGTAAGACGATGTTCAGACCTGTCTTTGAAGACTTTCAGACTGCTTTTCTTTTCACCTCAGAACCAACGAATGGTCTGCCAGCATGCCATGTTTGCCGTGTGGAAATTCGATTCCTACACCTCACCGAACTTCTCGAAATCAGCCTTGGCTTTTGCCACTGCTATGCCTGCCGTCTTGCGTGCCTCGACGTATCGCACGCGAGTAGATGGCTCCTTGTTTCCAAGTCATTTCTTGAACGCTGCTTTCTTCTCTTTAACTGCCAGTTGTACCT